ATAGGTTCTACAACAAAATCAAGGTGACCTTGAAATCTCTGAAATGCCTCAACCCACAAAAAAAGCTTTATAAGACGTGCCCCTTGATGCCATTTAAGTTCCACGCCTCACAATTTTCATAAAGTGTAGGTACCGTTAAGTCATTATTCGTTATAGGTTATCAAGTTAGCTGAGACTACCTGTATATTGTAGACAGTGTCGTTGTTTGGATGCACGTGGATAAAATAACATTCAAAGTTGTTTGTCTTTAACATAAAACTTGATATAAAAAGTCGTCACTTTATAATTAACATTTATTTTTAACAAGGAACTATCCCATGTCCGATTGGGATGGGCATCACCTGGGGGCGTATTATTGGTTACAAAACATGGCTACTGTGAAACAGAGAAATTTTTTATTGCATTCGCATGTTTCAGGTTGTTTACAATGTCAAAAATCTGTACAGGTTTAGGAATACATTTGCATGTAGTTATTTTCACATGAAAAAGCATGCCGAGGTATTTAGCAGCAGGTATAATTTTAATATTTATAAACTTAATATGAGCTACGACAAAATTGTTAATAATATTGTCTGAAGTGTTTCGATAGAAATTGAAAGTGGTACCTCAAATAAAGGGAAAGTAAAACAATAAAAATTTTGTATTTAACAGTTGATTAGTATACAGAGTGTCTGTATCACGGTACAACTGAGGAAAATGTGATCTTAAATTTACAAACAAATCGGAAAAGAGTATCTTTAATATCTTTCGTATGAAACTTCCTGTTCAACAAACTCAAATTTGTAATTTCTTTGGGCACATGTGTATTATATAGAAATATGTACATATTTATTTATTTATATAGAAACATGATGCGTTACAGTTACAAAAGCATACATATGTATATAGCATGTTTAAATGCTTAAAGGGGCACTTTGAGATAATAGACAAAAGATTAATTTTTATTACTTTTGCATAAAAATGAATGGCAATATGTGATATTTCATGTCTCTAGAATGTTCTGAGGAATGATTACTAACACATCCCAAAGTGGATTATATATAAACATTATAGAGGCACATGTTATTATGAAAAATGAAAAATCGAACATTTTTACTATGAAAGATACACTTACTTAAGAAAGTGGAACAGTAAATTTCTACATATAAGTACCGTACATGCAGTAAACCCTCGATGAGTATTCGGAGGCTCCTCGGCACTGACAAGGAGTGGTCCGAAGTGTAACGCTGACTTTTTAATGAGGTTTAGTACACCGTTAGAACTTGGTATTTTGAAACCAATAATATTTCTTCCAGCCGCATATGGCCATTAGTTTATGAAATAGTCAATGCTCAATGCCGATAAGTCTTCGAACACTCATCGAGGAAATACTGTAATACCAGTAAATTGTATTCATTCCATTTTTGTGTATTACATGCCTTCGTTCTTACCTATCCTTTATAATTTATGTATTTATGCTAAAATCGTCATTATTGTGTATGGTAGATTGTGAATTTTATGTATTTACTACGTACAAGATGATGCAAAAAACGATAGGACAACAAATATTATTGGTTAATGAAAATAAAATAAAATTTTTCATTTTTATACTGCAGTTAACTATGTAAGTCAGTAACGTATAAACTGTAAAATAAAGATTTCAATATAATTGAATATTTGTAGGTTATTACTAATATAGGGAAAAATGTTGTTTGTATGAATTAATATCTACAATTCTGAATTTCCATAAACATCCACAACCCATTCATTACACACTTCCTCCAAATATATGAAATTACACAGATAAAAACAATGCATTTGTTTCTTATCAAGAAATTATCATGTTTAACTTTAAAAATATTTATATCGTCACGCATACGTTACTTTTGCTTTAATATCAATGGAAATGCTACGCGGTTAACTTACTGTGTCCAGTGTCCATTAAAAACAAAATGGAGCAAAAATTACAAATTGCCGTCCGTCGGGCAATAGGAAAAAGCAATAACGAAAAAACGAACATTTCTGTAATTGAAATAGTGGAACGGTTCGAGACCAGCCTTTCTTCTCAATGATGCTCATCGAGGAGTGTAAAATTACGCGGACATTGTACTGGAACAATGTGCTTTCCGTATGTCGGGAATTACTGGAATAATAGCGAGTACTTCTCAGCACGGCATAAATACAACGATAGCGACAATGATGATAAAATTTCAGTAAATTCCCTTAGTAGATAATCGATAGAACGTAACATTAACGTAGAAATGCATTCTTATTGTTCACAATGGTAGATTCTTTTGTAAATCTCGTATTTGGAAGAATAGAGATATGTAATTTAAAACAATGGTTAAAGGCGTTACATTCAAAACTTTGATTTACTACGTATATAGGAAAAAGAACAGTTTTCATTAACCACTTAAGTTGGTAGTTATGCACTGCCAAATTTATGGCATAGGCAGTAATTAATACAGATGAATTAATTGTTTCGCAGTGATTTCTTCATTGTTTCAGAAAACGAAAACTACTTGTCCGAATAACTTCAAATTGTTGAACCATGTTAATAAAACATAATTAATACGTTCAGTGACTTAGTTTTTTTACTTCAAATTAAGATGATATTATTTATGAAAGTACTGATTGAACAGATTATAATAAACCTGAGTTATCAAGTATCATTATAATAGTGACTCAAAACTAATTTCTCAAAAATTCGATGACACCCAATGTTATCACAAAGTTATAGCTCAAGTGCAACAACCGACTGAAGTCCTGCTCTTCCGATTTTTTGCAGAACTTCGAAAGATGCAACCTAACCCTAGAACAATAACATGTCGCCAGTGACACCGCCGATATTTAATTCGACCTCTAGGCATAATCAAGCGTGGCGAGATGCGTGGCTTACTATACCTTTCGAGTAGATATTAGTGATTAAAACGTAGTAGAGTGCAGTCCGGATTCATATACAGTTATGAAGATATTTGGATTTGTGTAACCTACGACACCACGTTACGGTACGAAACACATGTATTAAATGCAAGTGTGCATTATGTGCTGAATAAGATTAGAAATTCGTATTGATGGCACTGAATAAATGTAATTTATTAATACGAAAGTACAAATTTATCATAATATGCTGAGTATAGATTATAAAGTCAGTGAAACTTCCAGACCGAATCGCGACCTACACGAACTGAACGAACACGCATACCGCACACATAGAATTAGTTTATTGGAAGCATCTCGAGTCGTTTGAATACCGCAGAAAGAAATTAATTGGTCTTCGGTCTCGAGTGCTCAAGCACGTCCGAGGAATGCAGTTTGCAGCTACGATAAGGAATGTGGAAAGGAACGTCGGCAACATGGATTACTTTTAACTGTGCTTTATCTACGATTACGGTGGAGATTAAAGATCCGCCAAGAACGATAGGAAATTCATATTGAACGTCTGGTAAATTGCTGATAGAAATTCCTTTTTTAAATCACTTTGTTGCGTAATGCTCGGTTTGTAGTTGTTAATTTTAATAGTTTAGTGGACTGTATGTGAGTGGCATTTGCAAGGAACGAGCCAGGATTGAAACGGATGTCTGGTGACAGCTGTGTGGCAAATAAATGTACACATGTTGGCTTTGTGATTACTTTATTGCGTCAATATTGGGTAAAACAATGAGTGAGACAGAATTCAAAGTATGCAATGAACCAATGAGTTTAGTATCTATGACGTGAAGAATGAATGTGTAAAATATGGATGGTGAATCTGACAGTGAGTGACCAACATTAATTGATACTTATAGAAACAATGGATGAGCAGGCTTGCGAATTTGAATACAATAAAAATGAGTTGACATACACTGAATAAATCGTGTGAGTTAGGCCATGTGACTCTGTTTGATTAAGTCAAATGTAGAGTACTTTTTATTATTAATTGAATGGCCACACTATGAGTGGTTCTATGGTAATAGAGTCTACGTGTAAGTGAGACTTGAGTGTTTACCGTGCGGATGAGTAACCACTGCGATGATATGCACAGCGAGGTGGTCGTAAATCACCTCGTGGTTGCAGGTGGTTTGGTCAATGGCCGATCAGCTGGTGATTATTCGGCGTGAGCTGGTCTGTTGGTGAGTTGCGCTACGGTGTTGTATAGAGTTGTTCTTATTGGGTAGGTGTTCCGTCACAGTATTCATGATTTACAAGATCAGTGTAGATTTGTGCACAAAGAGTCACACGAACAGAAAACTGTCGAGTCGTACACGATGCAGTTGATACCACGATCCGAACAAGAGTGTCAGAGTGAGACGTCGTTTCCGCCCGCTTGTAAGGAAGACGGATGTGACGTACACTGTTGATGATTGCAATTGGTGCGTTCGCTAAGCGACACGCACGCCACAGGCCGCGATTGGCTCGTGGTGAGCGACGCGCACGCCACGCGCAGCTATCGGCGCGTGGTGTGTGTGAATCTGCGGTGATGATGCCAGCCATTACCGATGCATCGTTCATGGCTGATCGACTGTTGCATGGTCGGTTCGTTGATGATCATTGGGAGGTGCTGCCCCCGTCAATTGATTTGTCTCAATATTGAACATTCCGCCCGCCATCAGCAACTGTATTGCTGATCCCTGTTGATCTGCTCTTCGGTAGCAGGTACGGGTAGAATGGCGAGCTTCGTGATTGGTCTTACGAGTGTGGTTGTTGCAGTTCTGAGTGATACCACACGCGTGAGCTGGTCTTTTCCTGGATGGAGTTGAGTGACTCTTGCAAGAGGCCACTTGCTTGGTGGGAGCCTCTCGTCTGTGATCAGGACTAATGAGCCAATCTTAATTTCATGTGATGGGTGATGCCACTTTGACGTCGATAAATGACGTTGTAGATACTGAGCTGACCATCTCGACCAAAAGTACTGGAGCCTCTGTTGAATGAATTGCCATCGTGACAATCTTGTGTGAGCGGTGTCTGTCAATGATGGCTCTGGTACTGTTGTGATCGGTTCTCCGATCAAAAAGTATGCTGGTGTTAGAGCTGCTACGTCGTCAGGACTTCACTGATTTCACCGCTGCTTCCCACTTCCCTCCCATGTGTGGGGCTGCTGGTGGGTTGAATTTCCAGGTGGTCCCATCATTAGTCAATGAGCAGCGCAAGGCATTCAATTCTTGAGTGCCTTGAGTGAACAGTTTCTTGAGTGTGGCATCTGCTCCGATGAAATTCGTTCCGCAATCACTGTAGAGAGTGTTGCAGATGCTTCTGCGTCCAGTGAACCTTCTGAATACAGCGAGAAATGAGTCAGCGGTATAGTCACTTACCGCTTCCAGATGCACTGCGGAAGTGACAAAGCACACGAATATGCACAACCACCCCTTTTGTTTTTTGGCGCCTCTTCCCTTCCAGATCTTAATGGTTAGTCGACCAGCGTAATCCACGCCAGAGGTGAAGAATGGTCGGGATGGTGTGACTCGCGTGGGTGGTAATTGACTCATTAACTGTTGTGCTCGTACGGCATGTTGCCGAGCACATTTGATGCAGCGGAGTATGTGCGATCGGACTGGAGCTCTACCACTAATGATCCAGTAGGATTGCCGTATGTGGTTCATTGTTGATTGAGTGCCACCATGTAATGTTCTCTGATGTGTATCTGCTATGATGAGTGAGGTGAATTTTGACTGCCGAGGCAGTATTGCTGGATGAATTGTCTCAAGTTCCAATTGTGAGCGTTCCAAACGCCCTCCAACACGAATGATGCCCTGAGTGTCTGTGTAGGCAGTCAATCGATTGAAAGGATGAGCTGGTGGTAGTTGATTTGACCCCATGAGCTTGAGTTCACTGGAAAAATACGCTGCTTGAGTTGCTTTGATCCAAAACACTCGTGAATGATCTGTTTCGTGTGGCGTGATCGGACTTGCGAGTGTTGATTGTGGCATTCTCTTAATGAGTTGAGCTACTCGAAAGCAAATTGCGGTTACTCTGAGCAGTCTGATGAGTGATGAAAATCTGTATATCATCTCCCAATGATATTCAGGGTGAGTTGTTGCCACAATGAATGATTCTCCATGGCGCTCTTCTAGATGAGTCTGTGATTCGTGATATATTGGCTGAACTGGCCAAGAGCTCTGGGTCCCAATGAGCCACTGTGGTCCTGTCCACCACAGTTGATGCTTCTGGAGCTGGGAGATGCTAAGCCCTCTTGAAGCGCAATCGGCTGGATTTTCCTTTCCAGGAACAAATCTCCATACGCTGTTTGAAGATAGATCTTGAATGGTTGACACTCTGTTCCTGACAAAGTCTTTCCAGCGTGAAGGGTGTGATTTGATCCAGGTGAGCGTTACTGATGAATCTGTCCACAAAAAGGTCTGTGCTTTATTGAGTTCTAACGTATGCTGTTCGTATCTCATGAGCTTAGTTACGAGCAGAGCTGCAGTGAGTTCAAGCCTAGGTATAGACATTCTCTTGAGTGGTGCTACTTTTGATTTTGCACAGATGAGCGTGGTCTTTTGTTGATCGCCTGGATTCATTACCTTGATATAGATAGCAGCAGCCATTGCTAGTTGTGATGCATCTGAGAATCCATGTAGTTCCACGACCGAGTTTTTTACTGTGTGAATCTAGCGTGGAATTGAGAGTTCTGATACATGGGCAAGTTCTTGTCGGATTGAGTTCCATTTGGCATTGATTTGAGCTGAGACTTGATCGTCCCATTTGAGTTTTTCTAGCCAGAGTTGTTGGAGCAATACCTTTGCTCGCACTATGAATGGTGACAAGAATCCGAGTGGATCGTAGAGTTGTGCTGTATCTGACAAGATGATTCTCTTTGTGAGCTTGGAACTTGAGCATGGTGGCGTATGAGTAAGCTTGAACGTATCGGAATAAGGTATCCATGACAGGCCTAAGAGTTTTATGCTGCTATCTTCGAATAAATATGCCTCCTTAATTGGAGACTGTTGAGCAATGCGTTGAATAAATTGGTTGTTGCTGTGCCATTTCGCTAATGGAAACCCGCCCGCCATGCAGAGCTGGGTTACTTGTCGTGATATATCGATGAGCTCGATGATCTGATCAGAACCTCCAAAAATATCATCGACATATCTACCCTTGGTGAGAGGTTCAATGGCGAGTGGGAAGTGATGACCTTCATCTTCGACTAATTGTAGTACTGTTCTAATTGCCAGAAACGGCGCTGATCTGGTTCCATACGTCACTGTAGTCAGTTGGTATGGGACCTCGTTGAGCTGATCATCGACCCACATGATTCTTTGCATATCCCAGTCGTCTTGATGAACTTTGATTTGACGATACATCTTTGTGATGTCTGCGGTGAATATGTACTTGTGTTGTCGAATCCACAGTAATACATCAAGGATGTCTCGTTGGTTTTTCGCACCTAGGTACTGGATGTCATTGATCGAAATCCCTGATGTTGTTGGGCTCGATCCGTTGAACACGACTCTTAACCTGTTACTGACTCGATCTTGTTTTATTACTCCATGATGAGGAAGGTAGTATGGAAATTGAGTTTGAGCTCGCACCTCTGACCGGTCTCCAGAGACCCTCAACCTTCCTGATGCCGAAGCATCATGTGCCGAGGTCATCTCGTTCAACCGATCGTCAGTAACAGGCTCAAATTGTTGAAAGGTTCCATCTTGTGTATGTGGGACACGTCTCATGTGACCCATTTCTTCATACTCCTTCATGAATAAGTTGTACAATAGTCTGTGTGAGTCGTCAGTATTGAGTCTTTTCATGAGTCGTCGTAAACATCGTCGTGCTGTGAGCTCCGAATCTCGTAAGATATTCGGTGAAGACTTGAGTGGAATTCGTACTGTGTATCTGCCACATTCGTCTCGTGAATGTGTTGATTTAAAATGATCTTCGCATGCCTGCTCTTCTGGGGTCAGTTGTGGCTCAGTAGATGCATGTACTTCTTCCTGTTCCCAGAACTTGGTGAGTAAATCTTGTAGCTCTTGGTGCGCTGATTCACTGGTGATATGATGAGTGTAGTGCAATGATGAGTGATTGTTTATGATTGGACCAAGAACTACCCAACCAAAGATTGTAAGTTGAGCCATAGGTGATGAGCTATCATGCTGTATCATGTCTGGTTTGATGATCTGTGCATAAGAATCTGCCCCGATGATGACGTCCATGGGCCTTGGAGTTAGAAAATTTGGATCGGCCAGCTGCAATGATGATAGATGTGGCCACTCTTGGTGTCTCACGTGGAATGACGGCAGTGTATTCGTCAACTTGTTGAGAATGTGAGCATTGATAATAGCAGATTGTGAGGAATGGGTTGATTTGAGCTGAAGTATGGTGACACCCCTTGTTTGAGTAGACTGTGATCCTCCTATTCCAATGATTGCTACTGATGAGTGCTGCTGAGTCAATGCACAAGTATTGACAAGGTGATTTGAGACCAATGTGAGTTCTGATTCAGGGTCTATGAGCAGTCGGACTGGGTGAGTGGTCAGTGATGTAATGAGTGTTGCTTGAGCTGTTGCGAGTGACTGTTGTGATGTGCGGTGATCTGTTCAGGCGAAATGGCACTTGATTATTTCAATTGTGAGCTGGAGCTGGTCGATTTTGAGATGAGTCGCTCTTAGTTGTGTTAGACGTGGACGGCTGTGGTTGAGTTGGTCTGTTGGATGGTAGATGAATCATCGTGTAGTGCCGTGCACCACATGTCTTGCATGTTCTTGAGCTGGCATATGACATTAAGTTGTGGTGCCCAAGGCAGTTGTAGCACAATCGTTGGTTCGTTACAACCTTGTAGCGGTCCGCAGGATGTAAGTCGCAGGCAGGATACGATGTAATGCTGACCACCACAATGGTCACATGGATATTGGGTAGGTAGCGGTGCCCTTGAAGCCTGATGAGATGCTCTCGGTTGTTGAGTCAATGTTCGTGGCACTGATCTCGATGACCCAACAGATGATGAAGTGCCCCTGGTGGTCTGAACTACTTCGAGTGCCTTGGCACGCGCTTTAATGAACTCAATGAGCTGATCGAAGGTGAGAGGTTCCATGGATGAGCTGCGTTTCACCTCCCAGGACTCTCGCAGTGACGCGTCCAGTCGCTTTAGGCTGAGGTGTTGAAGGACATAATTCCAAGAGTGGACTGGCACACCCATTGCCTTGAGCGCGTCGATGATCTCCGTTATGTCAGTGACAAGTTGGTGCAAGTCATGAGCTGTTCGTTTAACTTGGGAGGTGTTGGAGCAGAGTCGGTCCACATGTGCCAGGATGAGCCTTTCCTTGTCATCGAATCGTTGCAAAATCTGATTCCATGCAGGATAGAATGCGTCACCTGACATGGACACAGATGAGATGATTTGAGCAGCTGCTCCTCTCATGCTGGTCTTGAGATAATGCAGCTTCTCAATATTGGTAAGTGACACGTCCTCAAAGACTAGCGACTTGAATAAATCTCTAAAGGCAGGCCACTCCTGATAATCCCCATTAAACTGCGGGAGTTTAATTTCAGGCAACGTTGATCTGTGCCTAGCTTGATCTGAGCTTGCTCGCCTGTCCTCGGTTGATCGGGCCTTGATCTGTGCCTTGGTGGTGTTGAGCTCGTGCGAGGCCTTGTGGTACGCAGTGAGTGCCAGATCATAGATTTTTCCAGTAACGTACGGGTGATCAAAGAAGTTTCTTTTGCACGTTGCACCCAGCTGCTCGTGATCCGCTCTGAATTCCGCCCAAATCTCCTTGAGTAGCTCGATTTGGCTCTCCACTTCGTCTATTGAGGTAGCCAGCTGATCCGTACATCCCTGTTGTATTTGGTTGAGCATTGCCAACCGGGACAGTTGAGTTGAGATCTTGAACTCATTTGGCGCAGATTGCGCTAAGCCTGGAGATTTTGGGCGAAATGCACCACCCTGATCTGCGCCTGTTGTCACAGTGAGCTGATCCATTGATCCGGTGAGCTGTTCAGTTTGTGAAGGTTGTGAGATGATCTTCTCTTCCTGGCTGCCAGCGAGTTTGTCAGTATTCTCGTTCTTAGTAGCAGACATTACGTTGGCTTGATTTGACACTTCAACGGTTGAATCAGATGAGCGGAAGTAGTTGAATGTTCTTTTGATGAGTGTTCTGGATGAGTTGATCGTGATGGTTGTATGGATGAGTGGTTCTCTTTGATGAGTTATTATACTAAGCAACAGTATGTGTTAGTGTGACGTTAAATGAGTCGTATAATGAAGCCAACTTGTACAACTAAATTCCACAGCTGATCAGAACATCCGGCTCGAAGGACCAAAAAATGTTGCGTAATGCTCGGTTTGTAGTTGTTAATTTTAATAGTTTAGTGGACTGTATGTGAGTGGCATTTGCAAGGAACGAGCCAGGATTGAAACGGATGTCTGGTGACAGCTGTGTGGCAAATAAATGTACACATGTTGGCTTTGTGATTACTTTATTGCGTCAATATTAGGTAAAACAATGAGTGAGCCAGAATTCAAAGTATGCAATGAACCAATGAGTTTATTATCTATGACATGAAGAATGAATCTGTAAACTATAGATGGTGAATCTGACAGTGAGTGACCAACATTAATTGATATTTATAGAAACAATGGATGAGCAGGCTTGAGAATTTGAATACAATAAAAATGAGTTGACGTACACTGAGTAAATCGTGTGAGTTAGGCCATGTGATTCTGTTTGATTAAGTCAAGTGTAGAGTACTGTTCATTAGGAACTGAATGGCCACACTATGAGTGGTTCTATGGCAAGATAGTCTACGTGTAAATGAGACTTGAGTGTTTACCGTGCGGATGAGTAACCACTGCGATGATATGTGCAACGAGGTGGTCGTAAATCATCTCGTGGTCGCAGGTGGTTCGACAATGGCCGATCAGCTGATGATAATTCGGCGTGAGCTGGTCTGTTGGTGAGTTGAGCTACGGAGTTGTAGAGAGTTGTTCTTGTTGAGTAGGTGTTCCGTCACGGTATTCATGATTTACAAGATCAGTGTAGATTTGTGCACAAAGAGTCACACGAACAGAAAACTGTCGAGTCGTACACGATGCAGTTGATACCACGATCCGAACAAGAGTGTCAGAGTGAGACGTCGTTTCCGCCCGCTTGTAAGGAAGACGGATGTGACGTACACTGTTGATGATTGCAATTGGTGCGTTCGCTAAGCGACACGCACGCCACAGGCCGCGATTGGCTCGTGGTGAGCGACGCGCACGCCACAGGCAGCTATCGGCGCGTGGTGTGTGTGAATCTGCGGTGATGATGCCAGCCATTACCGATGCATCGTTCATGGCTGATCGGCTGTTGCATGGTCGGTTCGTTGATGATCATTGGGAGGTGCTGCCCCCGTCAATTGATTTGTCTCAATATTGAACACACTTCCTTCATACACTGCTATATGTTATTTACTTTCTTTGCATTCATTTCACCTAAAAATCCAGATACATAGTCTAGAAAAATAATTTAATGCCAGGCTGTTATAACCTCGAGAAATCATATTCTTCAATCGCTAAACAGTATCCCTATGTATCTGTACATATGTATTGAAAAATCAATTGCACACTACTCGTGATATATGTTACATGTTTTAAATAAAAACTTTAATTTTTTACTAGTTCGTTTCTAACAAAATAATTTACTAGGTTGTTTTTCCAAAATACATGAATAAATTGTGGGCATTTTTTTTGTTCATCATTTTATCAATACGAATCCAGAAATGTTTTCTTTCAGTGACATTGTTAGATCGGTAATACATTTGGCAACGTAGTAACATATTCCGACACTTCTGGCGCTGCATTCGCCATTGACGTTCCGTCACTATCGATCGACTTCACATCGATCTCTAGGCACGCGATCTTCTATCACATGCTTGTATTACTAAGGTATTATTCTCTATAATAAAACAAGTGTTTGTGTGTGTAAACAACAAGCTGCGTACAGTTAATTACTGCCTTAACGTGTTCCACGATCCCAGTATCCTTAACAGGTTATGGGCCCAGAATTAAGGAAGAAAATTAACGAAATACGCAACTTAACCTATACGGCCACGAGGCGCGCACAATTACAAAAGTGACGCCAGAGATCGGTCTTCGCTCGCAGTTCCGCGCATTAACAAGTGAACACAATCGTCGCGAACGCGTATACACGTGCTAACGAAGTATAAAGTGACGCCGTGTCGCCAGTGAACGATCGAATAAGAAAAATGGCATTTTCGAACACCGTGCGGTTAGAAGTGCTAACGCGCGAAAACTACGACACTTGGAAAATTCAAGCACGAGCTGTCTTAACGAAAAGTGATCTTTGGGAATATGTGTGCGGCGAAAGTGAGCCTCCTGTCGTGGGTGGAGAAGACGATGCCCTCCGAGCCTCGCAGCTAGCGTACAAAGCATGGCTGAAACAAGATGGAAAGGCCATGTCGGATCTGATACTTTCGATAAATCCATCCGAATTAAAACAGATTCGCGGCTGCAACACATCGAGAGAAGTGTGGGAAAAATTGGAATCCGTCTACGCTTCGAAAGGACCTGCACGTAAAGCCACATTACTGAAAAAATTAACCGTGCACAAAATGCAGGAAGGCGGGGATATTCGAGAACATACGACCGTATTCTTCGACGTAGTCGATAAATTGGAAGCAATGGGCATAAACATTAATGGTGAGTTGCTATCAATGATGCTATTATATAGTTTACCAGACAGCTTCGAAATCTTCCGATGCGCGATCGAGACGCGCGACGATTTACCAGATGCTGAATCGCTACGGGTAAAAATCATCGAAGAAGGCGACGCACGAAAGCAAAAGACGACCGGAAACGAATCTAACGCCATGTTCGTCAAGCATTACCGAGGCAAAGGAAAACCATCGAAAAATGCAGAGGAAACCTATCGAAAAACAAGCGGAAAATCGAACGAAGGTAAACCATTATTTCATCCCGTTAAATACAAGTGCGGACATTGTAGAAAAACGGGACACAAGACCGCAGACTGTTGGAAGAAGAAGTCGACCAATCCAAAGGGAGATCCTGACGATGAAGCGTACCTTGCAACTACATTCATCGACGAGTCAGCACATCTTTCCAGCACCGCATTGGACAAAAATCATTGGTGTCTGGATAGCGGATGCACATCCCACCTATGCAACGACAAAAGTTTATTCACGAACCCGGAGGAAACACACAGCGGATTGAGACTAGCCAGTAATGCGACAGCTCAAATAATCGCAAAAGGCGACGTGAGCGTCATGACAACGGATGGCAATCAAGGCAAGTCAATCAAACTTGAAAATACTTTATACGTTCCCGAATTGAGGACTAATTTATTGTCCGTTGCCAAGATTGTAGACAAAGGCAATGAAATAACCTTCCGAAAAAGTCATGCTATTGTCGCAGACCCTCATGGAAGAGTGAAACTAATCGCTGACAGAAGAGGCGATTTGTTCTATCTCCGTGGGAATAGTCAACAGGCTTGCGTTGCAACCAAGGACCAGTCTAGTGCACAAATCTGGCACGAAAGACTTGGACACCTGAACTCCAGGGATACGTCATCAATGTTGAAGAATCTACTTCAATTGAAGATCAACGACGCGAAGAGATTGTATTCATGCAAGATATGTCTAACGGGAAAACTCACAAGTCTCCCGTTTACATCCAAATCCGAGCGATCGT